CCTGCCCGCTGGCTGGCTCTGGCTGGCCTCAGGTTGCATGTCGCACTTGGCGCCCAACCTGCGATTGCATGAGTTGGTTCGACTTCGTTTGTGCCCGTAGTCTTGCACTGGTTTCATCCGCCGTAACGCCCGCCGGTCCATCCACTTGCAGGTTGGCCGCTCATCATCATCATCACCATCATCATCATCATCATCATCATCATCATCATCATCCGCCCCCTCCTCGTCTGCCGCCCCGAGAGCAGCTGGGGAGGGGTTCCTCGCGGTCCCGGGAGGTCCCGGCATCCCCCGGCAATCCTTGCAATTTGGATTCCGGGGCCTCCGGCTTGAGAGCAGCATCTCGGCAGAGATGGGGCATTGAGGGGTATCGGCCTACTAGGAGGGGGTCGGGTCGAAGGTTGAATCTGCATCGTCTGAAGCACTTCGCCCTTTGGTCCCATCCTTCAGGATCCCGTCGTAGAACCGCCGATCACCTCTTAGTTACATCATTCCAGTCTGAGGGCCCAGCGACGCGGTGCAATCCACACTGGCACCGCCGGTGCATCGGCGGTGCATCGGCGAGGGGCTGCGATCTCGGAGCCGCATGGCGGGAGCCCTTCAGCCGTCGAAAAGGAGACCAACCATCACCACCGAAGCCTCCACAGGCCCGCTGTCGGGGCCACGGGTCCACGTGGACGTGGTCTCCTGGGCTGGCTGGTAGCCGATACCCGCTTGGATTCGGTCCGATACCGATACCGATAATCGCTAGAGGCGTTTAGGGTTGCAGTCCCCACCCAGAGGTCTTGGCAGGCAATAAGTTCCGCGGGTCCCCCAGTTCGCCCTGTCCCTCTCCTCCTTCCCCTGCTCATCCTACCATTATGTGTTTCCTCCGCGACGGCGGCGGCGGTGGAATAGTTATTTGCCGCGTATCGCTGATTGGCGTCAACCCTCGAATGGCCCCTCGAATGGTCCCGCGACGAGTACTTATTCACCCATGATTGAATGGGTTATTAAACACAGTTCGCGGTGACCCCCTCCCTCATTCTTTCCTCCACCCCGAGGTACGACATCGTTTCGGACTGCCGCCCCTGCATCAGGGTAAGGCTCGTTGAGAGGCTGCTGGAGCCCGCGGCGCTGTGCGAACAGTGCGCGGCGCGCAGGACCCCCGCCGCGCGCGCGTGGCAGGTAGGGGGCGGGGGGAGGCGCAGGGGCGGAGGCGGAGGGAGAGGTGCGGGGGATGGGGGGAGGACGAGTGGGAGGAGGGAGGACGGGTGAGGAGGAGGAGGAGGAGGAGGATGAGAGGAAGAGGGAGAAGGAGGGAGGAGGGAGGGGGATGTGGAGACAAGGAGAGAGAGGGGAGAGAGAGAGAGAGAGAGAGAGGCACGCCAGTTAGGTGACACCCTCTCCCTTTCCACCTATACCTTTCATGATGCGATGAATCCTTTTATATGCCGACCGAGGTGTCCTAGACGACCTTGATCCCCAAGTGGCAGGTGCAGGAGTTGCCCCATCGTTTGCTGCGCAATCGGTGGGGAGGGCCTGTACAGTGGAGGAAGAGGAGGAGGTACGTAAAAAAGGACAGAAGGAAGGAAGGAAGGAAGGAGGAGGAGGAGGAGGAGGAGGAGGAGGAGCAGCAACAGCAGGAGTCGTAAGAGGAGCAGAATGGCCAGGGGAAGGCGGAGAAGGGAAAAGAAAGGGGCACGGTCACGACGAGGAAGAAACCGGAACCAGGAAGCAACCGGATCCAGAACTCCAATTCTGGACGGATAGAGCAGGGCAATAATCCTGAAATGGCCGACGTTTCAGCGTGAACACCGATCTCGAAGAGTCAAAGACGCTCGAGGAGAAAACATACATTTGAAATAACAAGCCTTTGCGTGATAAATCAGATCAGACATGAGGGAGGTGGGAGCACCGTTGGACACTGCCCAGGGACAGGGGGGGTACTATACTTCCCCCTCGCGACGCCACCAACTGAGAGGTCCAAAGTGGGCCAACAGCACCCAAAAAATTCCCTCCTCGTCCTCCTCCTCCTCCTCCTCCTCCTCCTCCTCCTCCTCCTCTTCCTATTCCTCCTCCTCCTCCTCTACCACCCCGTGGATTCCAGCGAATTCCTCCTCCTCCTCCTCCTTTATAAGTCTGGGCCGTCGATCCCCCCTTTTCCGCCTCCTCCTCCTCCTCCTCTCCTCGATGCCCATTCTCCACGTCTCATCCTCCTGCGCGCTGCTGCGCAGTTGTGCAGCGCGAGGAGGAGGAGGAGGAGGAGGACGACGACGACGACGACGAGGACCAGCAAACTTACGAGCACAAGAAGGAGGAGTAGAAGGAGGAGGAAAAAAAGGAGAAGGATCAGGAAAAAAGTACCGAAGGACGGCGAGGAGGACGAGAAGTAGCAGAAGATCCGTGCACCGCTGCCTCCGGCAGCATTCCCCCAGGAAGCGCCCGCGCCCCGCCAGCAGTGGCGCGGGCGCAAGACCGCCACCCGGGGACGCGGCGGCGGAAAGAAGTCCACAGCGCGCCGCGGCCCGGAGGGAGGGAGGGGAGGAGGGAGGGAGAGAGGGAGGGAGGAGGGAGAAGGAGGGAGGAGGGAGGGAGGGAGGGAGGAGGGAACAGGGAACAGGTAAGGGTCTGTAGCCTTCTTAGCTCAGATTGACACCTCAAAGCCCTGGGGACTTCAGCTTGTGCGCAGCCAAGAGGCAGGCTCAGGCCCCGCGCTTTCTGACAGGACAGGCCTGTCAAACAAGATTGTGAGCCTCTGTCGGAGCATCTCCCCTTGCCATGTGCGAGTGGTGCATCCGGGAGGGTTCCATGAGTTCTTCGTGTTCTCAAGTAGCTGATCTGGCAACGCACACGATTCAATCGGTCGGGCAGCTGGGCAAGTCGGACCTGAGCTTACGGAGCACATGCCCCGCCACCAGTGTAGAAGGCGGCCAAGGCCGCACATGAGAAAACGGTGGCGACAGGTGTTGAGAAAAAAGTCGGGGCCCAAGGGTTCATGGCAGTCGGGTGCTCCAGAAAGCTGGCCCCGCGCTGCACACGATCCTCGAGAGCCTCGTGGGTTTGGAGAAGGGCGGTTACTGCCCTACTCCACCGTGGGCCTTCTTGTCTTCTGGTGCCAAAGATGACGGCGTGAGCGTGAAGGAGATCAAGGAAAGGCTTGCCCATGACAGGAGGCTGCCAGGTTCGCGAGCCACCAGGAAGATAAGCATTTGGCGCAGGAAAAGGTGGAGAAGATGCAAAGGCAGGCTCAGGAAGCCAATCCCCTCCACATCCAGCAGCACTCCATCACTACACGCTTGGCGCTTGGCCAGGGCCTGGGAGGTGCCGACCGAGCTTGGGTCCAAGTTAGTGACCGAGTAATCGGATGTGGATGAGGCCAAGAAGATGTTGATGTGTTGGAGCAGGCGGCCAAGGAAGGTTTCGCCGGGTCAGTGGTTGCAGGTGCAGGGCGTCTCCTCGAGATGGAGGAGCACCAGTTCTTCAGTGCATCCGAGGTGTTCGAAGCATGGCTCCACAACCAGACGAGACAGAGCAGGCCGGCAGTCACCTCAAGGCCCTCCTGGGCGCGCTTGATGTCCAAGCGGCTTCTACTCGCAACGGTGTTGCTGTTCTTTGTCTTCCAGTTGCGCGCGGAGAGGATGCCGATGGCACGTTGATCGGCGAAGGCAGTTTCGACAAGGTCGCCAAGGAAAACCAACACATGCAAGAGGTAAAGAAGGCAACAGCAGCAGCGGCAGAGAAGCAGCACGCGCTGCAGCCTGGTCGGTCGCCAAGGAGGCCAGGGAGAAGCTGCGGGAGCAGAGCACGGCCAGTGCTGCGAAGAAGCAGCGCAATTGACGGACAGCCGAGCACCCACGAGGCGTACTTGGTGTACTTCAACTCCCCCACCCCCCATGCAGCGCTGCATGCGGCTGTTCGCTCAAGTGCGGCACCAGGGGTCCGTGCTAGTGACGGGGCCACTGCTGCTAGCACCCCCAAGCCAGCGCTTTCTGTGCTGGACTCACGGACGCAGACAGGCAAACAGACAGACAAACAGAGAGGCAGGCACACACACACACACACACGCACACGCACACGCACACACATACACATACACACACAGACACACACACACACACATACGCGCGCGCGCGCACGCGCACACCACACGCACACGCGCACACACGCACACACACACACACACATGCGCCGCGCACGTGCAAACACGCACGCACACACACACACACACGCACACGCACACACGTACATACGCACGCACACGCACACACATGCACACACAACACACACACACACACACACACACACACACGCACACACACGCACACATGCACACAGCCACTAACACCCACGCGCTGACGACCAAGCACTCACGCACCCATCCCCCGCAGTCACAGCGCCCCCTCCCCCGCGGTTCCACTCACCTCCGCCCCCCACACGGCCCCCAGCCCGTCCTGCAGGCGCTCCAGAGGGGGGAGGTGCCGCCCAATTTCGGGGCCGGCCCTCCCTCCACTCCAACTACTCCGCCCTCGCGAAGCGCCAGGGGGCACCACGCCCTTACACACACACACACACACACATACACACACACACACACGCACACACACACACACACACCCGTAGCCATGTTGGCTCAAGCCATTTTGGCTCAAGTCCGGAGCAATCGGCTCAGGTTTGAGCGTGGCACGGGGGAGGTGCGCCCCCGCCAGCGATCCCGTGCCCCTGGCGCGGCACAACATACAAGTTTCTCTCTTCCAGTAAACTCGTTTACTGCAGACAACGTGATTGCCATTCCTCTCTTGTGTGGCTTCCCATGCCCCCTGGGGCTGCACCAGCGGGCGCTCGCGATGCGCCAGCGGGCGGCCGCGGGGCAGCTGCGAGGGCCAAGTCGGAACCGCGAGCCAAGGGCGGCGGCAGGGCCAAGGGCAAGGGAGTTGGCAAGGCAGGCAAGACCAACGCGAGCGGCTCAGACCCCGTGGACTACGTCCGCCGTGCGCACTGCTCGTACAAGTGGAACTTCAGGGCCAGGGTCGAGTGCTACAACTGCAAGAAGCCGCTCAAGCCTGCCGTCGTGGACGAGGCTGCACGGCCACGGGCTGCTGCTTGGTCCTTCGTGCGGAAGCCGTGGGTGGCGCACGACGACGACTGGCGCGTGGACACGCTGCCCGCGGCCAGCCCACCCTCCGACGCCGAGTGCCTCGCGGCGCTGGCGGCGCGGCACCCAGGGCAGCGCCAGCAGCTGGAGGCCATCAAGTTGGCCGTCGCACCACCGCCCGCTGTGGCCACGGCGCTGCCAGACGTGGCCCTCAACCGCGCGCAGGCCAAGCAGCGGAGGGCTCAGGCTACCTTCTCGGCCAAGGGCCAGCATGTCCGCGACGCCGAGCAGTGGCTTCAGGCTTGCCGCGAAGAGGAGCTGCGTGCGGGGGAGGCAGTCCTGGCGCGCAACCTGGAAGTGGAGGACGCCTACAAGGCCGCCGCGCCCAGAGGGATCCAGGCGCAGGCGCAGGCGGAGCAGCAGCAGCCAGGTGGTGAGCCCAAGCCAGTCGTCGGTCTCAACGTCACGGCGCTCTTGGCGGAGGACTTCCAGGTCGAAGCAGGTGGCGCCTTCAAGCTCGACGATCCCGACCTGGACATCACAGACGCCGAGCGCGAGGAGTTCAGCAGGTCTTTGCAGAGCTTCGTCGACCAGGTCAAGCAGCACGCCCGCACCACCTTCGGGGACGCCAAGGCGCAGCTGGAGCAGAGGCGCAGCGAGATCGACGCCAAGCACCAGCTGCTCCTCGCCAGGCGCAAGCGACCCCGCACCGAAGCTGCAGCCCTAGGGGCAGCCGCCACAGAACCAGCAGCTGGCCAGGCGGCGGCCGCAGGCGAAGGCGAGCCGCCTGCAGCCGCGGCCGCCGCCGCCGCCCCCAGCCAGGCTGCAGCCCATGGGCAGCCTCCTGGGGGCGGCGCTGCTGCTGCTGGTGCTGGCCTTGCTGGGCCCCCCAGCCTCCGCGGCCCCGATGGCACAGCCAAGCTGGAGCAGCTCAGGCGTGAGCTGGCCCAAGCCACCCCCGCCCCAGCAGACGTCACCGCGTGAGCCCTCCCCGCGGTGGCCAGGAGGTGAGCCAGGGGCCAGACCCAGAGCGCCACGGCTGGTCCGCTTGGGCAGGCGCGAGAGGGGCATCCTGGCCACGCGCATGCGGCGCATAGCGAGGCGGCGGTGCCCTGCACCGCGACTGGGAGCCTCGCCCCAGGACCGCCGCCATTGGAACTCGTACTGCGCCCCCTACATCTTCCACCAGCTGGGCTCCCTGGAGTGCACCGCCATGCTGGGCGACCTGGCGGCAGCCCCAGGCAGCGGCTCGCGCGTCGCAGAGAGGATGCGGCTCGCTCGGGAGTTGTGTGACGACGCTTGGAATCATCCGCGGGGCATCGACGCCAGGCGACTTCTACGGCAGAGGTTGGATAACCTGCAGGCAGCCGAGGAGGCCGCCTACGAGGGGGAGGTGGCCAAGCAAGACCGCACTCAGTCCGCGGCGGAGAGGTGGTTCGACCGCCAAACGCAACCGGCTACGCCGACGCAGGCCAACCTCACCATGGTCTTTGACGACGCCCTACAATGTTGGAGGCTCCTTACCGTTCAGGCCCTCCAGGCCGCCAAGGGCCCGCTGTTCCAAGGCGATGGTGGGCTACCAGCTCAGGCAGCAGCTCCACCTGAAGACGTCCAACGTTTTTCAGATGATGGTTTCTCCGACGGCCCTGGCGAGGCCCCGCTGTCTGTCCATGGTCGGCGTGCTTCAAAGGATGGTGGCGTGTCGGGCGTTGGTCTTCAGCATACCTCAGTCATCGTCTCTGGCACTCAGCCTGGAGGTCCCCATCGTCAGTCCGCGATGCTGGATGCCCAGGATCCCGATCCCATTCACGACCCTGCTGGACGTGTTTGCGGTGTTCACCCTGGGGATGCCAATCTTTTTTCCGCTGGTGGTTTTTATCGCACTGGGGCCCAGCGTATTTCAGCAGCTCTCTCTGGCAGGGGTTCGTTTGGAGGTGCTCATCCCCCAGATGGTGGTTTCTCAGGCAGCGCGTCGCAGCTTACTTCAGATGGCGGTCTCTCTGGCCCAGCAACCTGGAGGAGGTCGCTTGGATGTTGCTGGGCGTATTGCAGTTGGTGGGATTTCTGGCGGCTCTGCAGTTACTGGCAATCGCACTGGTCAGTCTAATATCAGATGCAGGCCAAATGCCAGCGAAGCGTCTCCCTCTGGGCCTCTTGGGCAGGTGCGTAGACCTCAGGAGGCCGAAAGGGGCCCTGGCGAGGCGCTGGGTGCCAGTGCGGGAGTTCCGCCTGGCGAGGGACCTTCTCCCTCACGCCTCCGCTCGGGCCTTGCGTCTTGGGCTGCCTCTGATGAGGCCCGGGGCCCCTCGGCCCGCGCGGGGACTCCCTCGAGCTCGGCGCTGGAAGCTGGTGAGCCAGGAGGTGCTCACGCGGCCAGTAGCTTCGTCGGCTACACTCACCAGCCCAGCGGCGATCGCCAGGCCAGTGGC